GCTTCTGTCTCCTTGAACCCCAGTCGGCCTCGGCAGATGGCTGCTCACACTGAGCCTGGTTCTGCTGGAGGTTTCTTCCTGTTCTTCCCGTTTCAACTCCACTATCGCGATAAGCATGTTTGGTGTGAGGGATTGCCTTAAAGTCAATGAGTCGATGCAATCTACTGGTTTTCCTTAGATAGAAAACTTTGAATCAATTTGACTGGATGATCTGGTTGAATTGTAAAGTACCTTGAGATGACATGTGTTGTGAGTTGGTGCTATAGAAATAAACTGAATTGAATTTACCTTTTAGATATTGTTTAAAACTACACACTACACAATGTAGCTTTAATATGCAAACTATCAGATTGACCCAGAGATGTTGCTCTGATGCCCCTGCAGCTGCTGTAAGGCATTGATACACCAACGCATCAATGATGGGTTTTATTGGGTAGAAAAAACACTGATCATTAGTCTGTTTGGCTTGGCAGACCAGCCATTAAGGAATCTGTCTAAACCTGGTTGCCTCACCCCTACTTTCAAAGCTGGTTCTCTGTCTGCTAGCAGGAAGCAGCCTGCAAGTTCTCAGAGTGAGTCAAATATGAGTCTGACGTGGGGTTAATCTTTTGAAAGTGCTTTTCTAATGTTTATGTGCAAATGAGGAGATAAATGTTTCAAAAAAAGTTTTCAGTTTCTATGGCTGTTAAGCTAATTAAAAGTTAATGTATCAACCTAATTTCAGTCTAATTTTGACAACCGGCTTTTGTGCTGAAATGTGCTGGACAGAGCCCTAGTGGAGGGAGCCCAGATGTCAGTCAAAGGTACTGTACCATCATGATGAAAAATGTAGTGTATAGTGTAGAGGACCGAATTTTAGAGTAGTTATTTTGAGTGTAGCAGCCCGCTATGCAGAAACACGCTGGTGAGAAACTAGCTATAATTTCAGTAAATTTTAATTTTGTGAAATGAAGGTAAAGAAAGGAAAGGATTAAGCCTTTGAACCTCTCACAGCTGGGCTCAGCAAGATTTCTAGTAAGTTTATAAGTTTTATTAAAAAAAATTAAGAGGGTTACATCATGAATTTGAGCCTTTTTTTAAACTTGATCCTTTAATCAATAATTATTTAGATGCTATATAATGCAGCATTTTTTTTATCCATATATCACGCCCCTACCTTAAAAGTTCTGGGTTTAGGTTATATCTCAAGTATTGATTTTATCCATTTAAAATGTTGTAGTTTAAAGCATAGGTATGTGTTTTAATGGGCTATGAGTGTTTAAAGTATTAAAATCTCTGAGGTTTGTCACCACACTTTTTGATATCTGTAAAAAATCTACAGTCTTCCTATCATTTCACTTGAGCATTATGTACTGTTTAGTGTTGTTTTGTCTCTGTGCATAGTACTTTTGTATATGCCTTTATTTTGAGAAAATTGGCAACGGTAGTGCTTTGCGTGGTGCTGCAGTAGAGAAGGTGCTACATGTAGGCCACACAGAGGTTTCCTTCTTGCAGCTGTCTTTCCTATGCTTTTCTCTGCCCTTTTTCTGTCTCGATACTGTCAGTAAAGGTCAAACATTAAAAAGGCAACAACTGAAAGAGTTTAAATAGGTTTGCAAAGCTCTGTAAGGTATGGCTATTTCATTAAATTACAATAGATTTTTAGTGGATCTCATGAAATGTTCCGATCTACTCAATTTTATGGAGGGTTGTTTTTCTTCATTTTGGAAACGGTATTGTCTTTCCGTTAGAAATAAACTGTCTGAGCCCTTTCAATCAGCCCACACATAGCATTCAGACTGTATCATCATGAACTTGAAATTTTAACTTGAACTGAGGTCCTTTAGTGTTTTTGTGTATTCCTTTTACGAGGTTTGACCTCAGCGTGAGCTTTCTGCAATGACTCCCTCTAGTATAACTGGCAGCTGTCTCGAATATTTTCTACTTCGGCTTGGGGGGGCGGGGGGTTTCTTAACTGAAACATGATGATCTCTGAAAAGTTTGGCAATGTGTTTAAAGAGCCTTAGAGATTATATAAGTACAAGACAACTTCTCTAATATCGCTGCTGATGTTATTCCTTCTTTGCATTGGCTTTACATACGCTAGTGCTCCAGAGCCGCAAAATCCCAAAATATATGCTTTTTTAAAATTGTTAACACGCGTATCAGTTAACGTATTTGCTGAGTAGCACCTGGCCGGGGTTCTGCATTCTGTTTAGTTTATGGTCTTAACAGATGAGAGTAAGGTGCATTTATACAAGGACTCAGATCAACAGTATTACTTATTTTTCCACTTATCCGTCAGGGGATGAATTTGGATAAATGCTGGAGGAATAAAAAAAAAAAAAAAGCATCCGTGCGTAGACTGAAGCGAACCTGACATTTTAGTTAAACTACACAGCTATCTTGTCTATTTTTCTTCCTGTCTCGAGCACAATCATTGCTGGCGGGTGTCTAGTTTGTTACCTGTCTGGTTGTGGGGGGGGGGTGTCTACTTGTCTGGGGCTTTCCCACAGTTGAGAGGTGAGCAGAAAGCCTCATAAACACACAGGCCCCCTACAAAGGTCTGGTCTTCAGTTCCATGGACCAATAAAAATCAGCCTATGCTTAGGGCTAGGGTCCCTCTTAAATCCTCGTACACCTGGGAAGAATTACAGCCAGAAAGTTTGAAGAAATGCACCCGGAGGTCACAAAGGCCAGCCGCACAGGCAACATACGTTCTCTGACACGAAGACAGGGTTGACTAGTTCAATGCCTGGATGGTTTCTGTGAGGGAGTTGGTATAATTATGGCTTTTATATTATAAATTATGATCAGTGTTCTAGTAACTAGTTACAGTTTTTAGGTCATTCATCCAAACAGTAACTTGGGTACTTTCTTGAATACTTAAACCAAACAGTAAAAGGTACCCTTTTATTAAATTTTTTAATTAAAATTATTAACAAATGCATTTATGTCATCAAAACGTAAAGGTATAACGGAGGATGTTCTTTTTCTAGGTGGACCATCATAAAATAGTGGTCCTCATAATTGTCAATCATTCTAGTGATATGTTTATGTAAGGCTGTCCCACGTGCTTGTTTTACTTGCACTGTAACATGCAATTAAAAAAGGAATTAAACTTTGAATATGTTTTTAAATTTGTTCTCAGTTTGAATATGTTTTTTGAGAACACATTCAAAGTTTAATTTCTGGATTGTATTTTTTTTTTTTTTTTTTCAGATTAACTTTTACAAACTGTATTTTTCTGAATTTATTTAAAATGTTTTGGAATAAAAAAAACTGCTCGAAAAAACACATAATTACAGAAGCCATAAATCACCATTAATTACTGTTTTGATTCAGAACAACTTGGCTGAAATTGATCAACTGATCCAGTAATGGCAGTGGGGGACTGGGAAGAATAATATTATTTTTTAAATGTTATTATTTTTACCCCAATTTACAGCCAAATATATTTCTTTTTATCCTTTTCCCCTTACCTATTAACTAAAGGAAATGATCCGCAAGACCTAACAAACTGGTTCTCTCTCCCAAAGGTCAAAACACAAACTCTCTAACTTGATAATTTAAGTGATTTTATTGTCTAATGGTAGTTTTTATATTCAAAGTTTTTTGTCAATAGTGATTGGGTATGAATGTGCTTTCTAAAAGCCTTTCTTTCTGAACTTGACAAACACGCTAACTTGGACCTCATCCACACAGACAAGTTTCGGTTGTTAGGTTTATTGTTAAGGTATTTTGTCTTTTAGACAATAATAACTACATCTCCATATCAAACCCCCTTGCACCTCTTTTGCGTCATGGTTTTGTCTTCACTTCACATGAGCCGTCTATGCATGTCCAGTGTTTTTGTCAGCTGTTTTGGCATGATTCTGTGGTGTTACAGCTCCCTCAAGGACCCACCATATGTACTACAGCAACTATGTCTTCAGTGGTGCTGTGTGCACTTATACGGATGTTTATAAAATAGATACAGTGTTCGTCTTCGTGTGGACAAGGCTTATATAAAATTCAACCATTCCCTATCTGGGAAGTGTTTTTGAGTTTTTCAAGGCAGGTTTTCAAAGCATTAAAGTCGTAGGGAAGTCATATTTCGATGTCAAATCATTCTCTTAAACATGTATATAAATGTACTCTTTATCAGATTATGTTGTCCCAAAATTTAGAAAATTTCTATTAAAAAAGAAAATCCTGTCTTAAAATCAGTTTTTTTTTTCTCGTTATCTTATGCAGGCCAGTTAGTTATACGTCAGCTTGTACACATTAATTCGGCCAATTATACATCAACAGTCATCTGTTAATCAAATTTTTTCGGTTCTAGCATCTTGATTCATATGTTGCAGCTAATATACGCAACGGTTGAAATAAGAATAATTTCCTTTCCCATTGAGTTCCATCCCAGTGTTCACGGGGATGGACGTCTGTGTCTTCGGCAGGCGTAGAGTTAACAGAACTGGCAGCATTGCGAGGCAAGGGCTCAAGCATGTACGGCTGTAAGCCTTCTACACCAAACCAAGCTTCTTCCGCCCTGGTGTCCTCTTCCACAACGACTTCGTCCCCGTATTCCTCCTCTGAATTAAAAATGTATGATGGAGGAGACTCATCCATGACCTCCGACACAAAACTCTCCTGCTCTTGCATGTTTCCGCTGTCCATAGCGTTCCTTGACAGTGTTGTTTATAAGTCCCCAATTTAGTGCTACTTGGTCCCAATGGAATTTCCCATTGAGAACCTACTAGCACTGAGTTGTTAACTGGTTAGCAAGATGCTTCAGAGAAACTGGCCACAATCAAACTTGCTTGAGAATCTTCCGCCACAACAACCCCACCTCCTTGATAAACAACAAATCACATTCACTATATTCACTAGTGTGAAGTCGTGCACCACTCGGGAGATTTCAGAAATGCAACGGTTGGAACAGCCGCTTCCCTAAGACTTTAAGTGAACATGTGTCGTACTTCTAAGTGAAAGCAGAATTGGATTGGCATGAGACTGACTTCTATTTATTTTTTCTGCAGGTGTACTTTGACTGTGGTGCCAAGGTGGATGTATTGGATGTCCAGGGTCTCATTCTGTCTCCTGGTTTCCCCTACAACTACTCGTCTGGGACTCATTGTGTTTGGCAGTTTGTTGTTCCAGTTGATTACCAGCTTGTTCTGGAAATATTTGACTTCGACGTGTTTGAAAGCCATGACTCTGAAGCTCAGTACTCTGCTTTCTCTAACTTTGAAGAGGAAGCCGAGGAAACGACTACCAGTTTACCAGCTGATGAAAGCTTGTCGCAAGATGCAAGGCCTACACATCAAAGTGCAAGAGATATCTCAAAGACTCAACGTTCTTTCCAAGATGGCGTCCTCAGTCAAGTTGTGGTCCAGGAGCAGTCTACAAAAATGGAGATTGCAGAAGTCTCAAGTTCTGCTAAAAGGTCTGCAGATCCATCCTCAAGTCAGACCTCATCACCCCCTACTTCCCTTCTTCTCCTCCCTGGTGCTATAGCTTCTGCAGACAAGGTCACCAACTCCGTCTTTGTCCCCTCTTTAAATGGAGATTTCCGTACTGATTCGAATCAAAACACAATTATGGAAGAGACCACCTTTGGTTCACAACCCTTCACTGATACTCCTGCTGTGAGCCCTGAAACTCAACAATCCATACTTGACGCCTGTCCCCATGACGTCCTTTACATCTCGGACCTCATCACCTTTTCCTCTAGGTTCTGTGGGTCCAACCGGCCTCCCAGCAGCCAGCTGGTTTTTGGCTCAAGCCATGAGATGGTGGAGGTCATCATGGAGCTCATCACCACCACCCACTGGGGACGTGGATTTGCTCTTCTCTTCCACTACCACAACCTGACTGAGCTGGGAGGTAATCAGCGAGCCATGTCCCCGTCAGACAGAAAGGTGGACTCCCTCCTCGCTGCTGTGAGCGGAGCTGCCTTCTTCACTCTGATACTTATGAGTGTTCTCTGCATCATTTTCAGGTAACGGAAAAAACAAAATTATTTAGAAAAGTAACAATAAACTAGATCCATAGGTGTCTCTGTTTAGGAAAGAAGCAGTTCAGCAAATGAGCAACTAGCTAGTTTTCCTGACAAAAAGGAAAGAAGAGAACACATACAGTTAGTCAGAGGCCCAACTCTATCATCTGTATTTGGAGGTATTGATGTCAGCAGCCCATCTTATGTCTCTTTCCAGAATGGTGTCCTTACCAACAGTACCAGACAAGATGAAGCTACTATGATTGGGAAAAGCAAAGAGAACATAAGTTTAGGGCTGAACTAAAAAATGCGTCACAATGGGAGAGTAGAAAAAGAATGACGCAGAATGATGAAAAGGGCTCTCTATGTCCTCCAGCAAAGTCTATAGCAGCAAAGCTATTAAGGTAGCTCAGGATAACCTGATCTACATACTATAAGCTTCATCAAAAAGAAAGATTTTATGACTAGCCATAAATACGGTGGCCCAGAAGTGCAAACTGCAACTACAAATCTAAAAGCGCAACTACATTAAGGAAATCACAACTACATAAAGCAAAGCGCAACTACATTAAGAAAAACAAAACTACATAAAGCAAAGCGCAACTACATTAAGAAAAACAAAACTACATAAAGCAAAGCGCAACTACATTAAGGAAAACACAATTACATTAACCTACCGGAAAAGGTAGTTACCAGTGGGAAACATCAGACATCGCTGATTGGACGACGGCGCCGTTTGACCCTTGAGCCGGAAGTTGTGTCGTCTGAACAGTCCAGCTTCTTTTAAGTGTGTCTTCAATGTACGCAAACTAACTGAAATTTCGTGATTAGTCTTAAGCATATCCAGTATCACCTCGTACGTATGTCCTGATTCAAAATATTTCTGGATAACGGCAGCTATGTTTGGGGCGCCGACAATATCTATGTTTTCAAAAGCCGCAGCAGGCAGAATGACTTCCGGTTCAAGGGTCACACGGCGCCGTCGTCCAATCAGCGATGTCTCATGTTTCCCACTGGTACCTACCTTTTTTTTTCAACATGACATCTGGGCAAGATTTTCAGCATTTATTAGAAGTTAGTAACGTTAGAATTAATTAACATAATTTACCACATACATTCCCTGGAGAGTAAAGAAGTTAATCATAACTGAGATTTCCAAAATGCTGCAACCTTTCACAGATGCAGACTGAGACCAAGAGCTCAAAGTAATCCTGTTTTTGATTCCTCTGTTTTATATGTGAAAGATTTGAATACAGACAAACATAACTAATTGCACAAAATGGCTAAAGACCCTCCAAACTCTAGCTTTCTGTGGAAGTCTGCTTAACAGTCAAAAATGCATTTTCCTGGGTAAAAAAAGTTTTTCAAGCTATTTAGTGGTATTTATTATGATACAGAGTGATGATTGAATGAAAAAATCCATTGCAGCCTTTACATTGTGTGGCTGCATATTACAGCAGTCAACCCCCAACAAATACAAGCACTTCTCTTAAAAAAAGCAAACGAGAACAACCCCCAGGAATAAAACAACTACCATATTTAGGACCTTATTAGCATCAATTAGAACGGTTTCATGGCTAACAAATACATATAGCTGCATTTAATCATCTTTTTAAAAATATTCTTATCATTGCTGTCTCATTCACTGTTTTTCCATGTTTGAATTGAACATTAGTGAAAATATGGGAAAAATAGCAATCCCATCAAAACTTTTTTGTTCTTGAGGCTGTAGTTTTACTGAATAATTATATATGATATCAAGACAGTCCACCTCTAATCACAAAGCAAAATAAAAAAGTATTTTTTTTTAGCTGAAAATCAATCCTTTGTTCTTTTTCGGTCTGTTACTCTTAGTAAGCTGAAGGAGGCAGTTCAGTGTAAAGATTATAAGGGCAAAAATAAAGTGAACTTAATTAAACATCTTACCTGGGTAAGGTCTAAAATGAAAAGGACTCTTGTTCAGTGATCCAAAGTCCTCTCTTGAGATGAATTTTACATTTCGTTTGGAAATCAGGAGGAAGACTGGGGATCAACAGAATTACAATATCTGGATTTATTTATTTTTTTGCACTGTAAGTGAGGATATGAGATAGTCCACTGTGTTTTCTGAAGTCATTGCAGGATTCCACCAGGAAATTTACTGCATACTTCCTTTTGCTGATATTATTAATTTTCCTGCAGGACTTGATGCCTGCATGCTGCCAAGGTTACCTAAATTGGTTCAGTGACCATGGAGTTAGTGTGCCTGAATGGTTAGAAAAATTCTCCTGACCGGAAACCAAAAGAGAATGTATGGGGTATTGTCAATGTGTTGAGGGACACATACCTAACACTTTTTATTATTCTTCATCATAGTTCATATTTTCTGTTTTTTTCAGAGCACTGAATTTGGGGTTTTTACACAGAAGATGATTAGGGCCATTGAAAACAAACTAACTAAAAATGGCCAAATAATAGCCATTAAATTCTAACTTGAATTCAGAATTTTTTAGATTAAATATTTTTGTTTTAGTATTTTTTTTTTTATTGACCATAATCATCTCCCCTATTATAATTATCTGTAACCCATCATCAACAGCATTTAAAAAACTAAGTGATTGAAATAGTTCATTCCATTTAATGACTTTGAGCTTTAATTTCTAAAATAGGCAACAAAAGAATTAACTTGTAGTTAATATTGTAGTATTTTGGGATTTGCCTCAGGGTAGTTGATAAGGTTATGTGCTGTGATTTCTAATACAAATATGTCACACACCCTTATTGTTTGGATGGTTCCTGGTGATTTTGTCATTTTATATTCCTTGTTAAATTAAAACATTTAAGCAAATATAGTTGTTTCATCTAAGGTCATTTATTTTCATTTCGGATTTTTCACCTGTAATGTAATGTTTTTATTTTCCTACAATCTTATAGTGTAGCAAGTCAGCTTTTTTTCCCCCAAACATATATTTTCACAGAAGGAGTCAAAACACAGATCTACAAACACAAATAGCAGTAAAAGTTGGTTGAGACCTCAGTTGACATGGCACAATTAGTTTGTGCTCTGAAGTTGTAAATTAAAGTCCAAAAATTCAAATAGATCGCCGCCTGCAGTCTAAATTTCTACACAGAAATTGGAAGTTCAAGACCAAGATGGCGGCGCGAACACATCGCAAGGCTGACGGTCTTATTTATCCTGCACTTGCTGCTATTGCACTTCTGGTTAGACCTAAACTGCATTTTGTTGCCTTGTACCTTTGCAATGACAATAAAGTTGAATCTAATCTAATCTAAGTTCCTCTAAACAGATGCAACTTTAAAATCCAACATGGTTACCCCACATTTATGAAAGTGTTGAACTGTTAACCAACTCCTCCAATGGCTTTTAACCCAGTAAACCTCTGCCTACTACCACTACCATTGTCTTTGAGTAAATATGTTCCTCTTTTCTGCAAATGCAGACCATGCAAACATTTTTGCAGACTCTTAAAGCCCATAATATCACTACAACCAACTGCATCTTCTGCTGTTTTTTCACCTTATGGGTAAAGCACTCTCAACATGGATCTGACGTCGTTCTCAGGTCAAGGGTCAGACTCATGCAGTATTTTATCAAGAGAAATATTCATAGGATCTCAACTACTGCATCTGTCACCTCTACAGGTTGGCTGGTCTGGCAGAAGATGCACAAACCCACGCCTGCATCGTCACATCTCTGTTATGTTGACTCAGCTGGGCGCCTTAGTGCCTGATGTGGCTCCTCTTTGGTGATTAGTTGGCTTTAAATGCAACGGTGCGGCTTCCTTGATGTTGATTCGTTCTCACCAAACACCGAAAGGGCATTCAAGGTGCAGCACCTGGCATCAATTCCAGCGCACAAAACCAGAAAGGCAGCATGAAAGTAATGGGCGTAGTAACAGAGTGAATAGGGGACACCCGGGAGAGGTAGAGCCCGGTGTGAGTTTGGTAGCAGCCCCATTGAAAGGCTATTAAAAGGTGTAATTTACATTCCCAGCCCCAAATAGACGAGGCTAATCTTTAACAAATGTAATACTATCTGTTCCGAAGAGCTGTTTGTTTGAACCCATTATTTCAGATGGGTCTGAACTTCTGCAAGATTGTTATTTGTACCTTTATTATTCTTTTACTCAAAGAATTTGAGCACCTCAGAATCAAAAGTCCCTTTACCAGCACAGTAACTCTACAGCTTTTTGCTATTAAGGCCAGTAAAATAAGAAACAGGTGTTCCATGAAATCAAAAATGTGTATAGCAACAACAAAAACAGCCAAACGTAAGAACTTGTGTTAATCTGCAGCTCCAAACTCGAGCTCAGTAGCTGCTTTCTATCCCCCCCGATGTTCCCTATTAATTTACGAGTTCACCGAAACGACTGGCAGCAGGCCAAGCAAGTCAGACCCAGTCATGCATGTTTTAAGACGCGCAAAGTTCACCTTCAAAGGTTCCTCTTTTTGTAAAAAAAAAAAAAAAAACAACAACAAAAAACAGGCACAAGTGGATGAGCAGGGGTTGCCCTCAGTTGACTGACAGGTAATGAATTCACTCAGCTGTAATATTCATTTCTAATAAGAGCCAACGTTCCTGTGTGTTTTAACACTTCACTGGTTCACATAGACCTCAAAACAATGAGAAAAATGTCAGAATAGAACGTCATAAACATGTTGGTTTAATAAGTTAAATGATAAAAAGATCTGTAGCAGTAGTCACAGGTTTCTCTTTACCTTCTGTAACAGCTAAAAACTCAAATATACTGTATTGAGATTATATATAATAGAAGATCTCAACATTTGTTAAGGAGAAGGAATGGATGCTGGATATTTTTAAAAGTTTTCTACCAAAAAATTAAATTTTCAGTCTACTTTACATAGAATATAGTGCCTTTACTAGGCACCAAATGTAACTGTGTGTAACCAATACTTACCGGTAGTATAAACCTGATTGTCTTGTGTGCTTCCAAGGAGACAATTCGAGGAGAAAGTTGGGAAAAGCATTACAGCAGACTTAA